CTATCATCATGGTTGTAACCTGGGGTCAGCCGGTCATAATTCAACCTCAAACATCCTCCCTCTGGAGACTCACAAGTTGCTTTATTACAGTTAAATGATGACATCAAGAACTCTAAGCACTGTGCTTTCCTTTCATACCAACCATCTTTTTCTCAGGGTTATTGTAGCATTTGTCGGCTTTGACTAGTCCAGTGAGAGGCCCTCGCTCTTTCTTACTCACAATCCACTGACTAATATTGTCTACAATGTTGCTGCCTCTTGCCTGTGAGTCTTCAAGTGCGTCTGTAAAAACTGTCAGGGGTGTCTCGCGCGCGTCATCAGCAGAGCCAAAGAGGCCTCTGATGAAAACGATGGCAATGCTCTTGTTTTTCTGCTTGCGTCGTATGAAAGGAGCCGTTAGTCAGCCTTAAAGAACCACGCCGACTTGCTGGAGCTATTAATAGCCACATAGACTGCCGTACTTTTTTTTCTTTTTTTCTTCAGGAGAAAGCTGCCGAGCAAAATCCCCCTTTCCCTGCTCATTTCCTCCCCACCCTCTACTCTGCAGAATGCCATGTACTGTGACAAATCTCTCACAAATTTTATTTTTAGCCTCAAGCAAACGCACACTCCTATTTCTACTGCCACTTGTGTATAGATTCAACACAAAGTCAGCGAGGTTAGAAGCACATCCAGCAGACTGTGGGTTAAAAACCTTCATGTGAGAACTGACAGTGACCCTCTCTGAGATATTTGTCTGCTGATTCACTCATCAATTATTATTCAAACCAGACTTCACACATGACTTACCCAGCTTCAGTTTGTGTGTAGTCTGGTTTCTCAGAGAATCATTACACTGCTCATTTAACCAAGAGGATCACACAGAAAAGATAAACTTAAATTTGTGGTTTTGTCAAGAGATACAGCTAAGATTACACGGGTATTCAATATTAAAAAAATATTAAGGGTTTTGGTGTAGGATGGTTGTAGTGCTGTTTTTAACCAATATCTTAAAGAAAAAGTTGTTTACACTGTAATGCCCCAGTATTGATCATCCAACACTTTCCTCAGTCTTTCTGTTTTTCTTGTAATGTAACTTTGAACTGCATAAATTGCACTACATAAATAAAAATATGAATCATTACTATCAATGATTAGTAATATATTCTAACTGATGCCTTAGAAGTAATTTTACTTTAGACACTTAAAGTAAATTCGGAAGTTAAATTAAGGATGCAGGACTTACTTGTAATAGAACTTTTTCTTTCTAAAGTCAAAGGTAAGATAGAAAATCATGAAGCAATTCATACATATGTTTATGTTTTAGAAAATATCAACATTTCTGCTGGAGACTGGTTTATAAGTCCTGCTTTTATTTATAATATTTGGACATTGCTTGCTTCCTCAGTCGTTCACCCTCTACGCCTAAACTAAATTTTAATGTGCAAGTGGCAGAAATCATTGAGCATCAAAATGCTTATATGAGCAATGTTCCAGAGTAATGGGATATTCAGCAGTGGAAATAATCAGATACTTTTCTTAGGTAAGAGCAGAAATACCACAATGCAGACATATTCATTCCTTTTACTTGAATACAAAAGAATTATCAGAAACATACACTTAATGTATCAAAAGTAAAAGTCCAGTTTTTGGTGTTGGTTGTTTAATCAATAACAATTAATCATTATTTTGTTTGTAGATAATATGATCTGCAGTTATATTTTCTTATGAAACGTAGCTGAATAGAAGCAGAAAGTAGAATAATAGAGAATTGCTCAAGCACCAGGACCTCAAAAGTTTACATAAGCAGTAAATGAAGTCCCTTCCTACACCGAGGATAATATTGTTGCCTCCTTAAGCTATATTTCTCTTTCTCCTACAGGCGTCATATATGGTACCTTTGCCCTCAGGCTGCGGGTGGGGTCTTAGTTTACAGACGTGCCTGATGAAGTACATAATTTAGCAGCTGGTTTCAAAGAGTGAAGTAGAACATGAGGTATTTTGATATACGATCACCTCACTTGAACTGGATGCTTGAATCAGGGGAATTCATTTGAAAAGAGGATAATAATAAGAGATACTGTTAGCTTAAGCAGTGTTACATCTTTATATGAACTCACTTCAGATGTATGTGTATCTACAGATAGTTCTGGTTGATTCATTCGTTCATTCATGAGGTCATATTCATTATTTCTCTTTTCAAGGCGTTCTCAGTTCCTCTAACTTGGCGCTCCAGCTGATGGGGACTTGCTGTCATGTCTGTGTGAAACTGTGTAAATTCATGAGATCATATTTATTTCTGGTGCTGAACTTCACGGTTTGATGCCATATCCACAGTGTGCGTCATCACCGATTATTTGAACTAAATATAACCTCTCTGGTATCTGACACCTTCTGTGAAATTCAGCCGTTTCTAGGTTTTACAATTTCTGACTGTAAAACTGCATAAATATTTTCCAGTGTGATGAAACGGTCATCCACCCATAAACTGTAACCCATACATACACACAGACGCCAGTGGTATATAGCAGCTTCATTATTGATACAAATAAGCTTGTGTTTAGAAATAGTAACTTTCAGTGTTAAATAGATTTTATCACAGAGATAGGAATAGTATTTATACTTTTTATTAACTGAAAAACATGCGACAATAATAACACTAGACTAATGAGAAGCAAATAATCTAACCCTAACTAGTGCAGGAAGTGCACATTGCCCATAATGATCACCCACACACCCATAAACTGATCTAAAGGAGGCTAATCAGCCGCACTTCGAACAGCTCAGACATAACAAGACCAAAGGTCTAAAACTTTGCTAAGGCTCCCCCTAGAGGTTGCAATAATTATTACACCCACAATGGCTGGTGGCTGATGCGCACACCATACTGATAATTCTATGAAAATGACGTTGAAAAAACGTTTATCTTGAGTGAAAGAAATTAGGATCATTTCAATCAAAAAGGTTCATTTATTTAGGTATGAATGTGCTTATGGTCTCCTCTTAGAAGCACAGATGTGCTCAGTGAATGTCTGCCCATTCGATTTTGATGCAAGAGTCAACATAACATCTGGATTGATCCTCTGGGGATCATGAACATCCACAGCATATTTCATAGAAATCTGACCAATACCTCCCATTATAAGTATGTACTACGTATCAAGTCAGGGGGAACTTTGACCTGACGGAGGCCCTGTACGAAAGGTCAAGAGGGCATCGCTAAACTTAACGAAGACATGGCAAGATACAAGATATTTATTAATAATTCAAAGGTTTTAAAAGCCTTCAACAAATATGTCTACCTATTATTTTAATCCTGTTTTTTTTAGCATGTTTACTGTTTAGTTTGTTTGTTTTACTGTCCAGCACTTTGTAACACAGTTTAGAAAAGTGTTATATAAATAGTCAGGTTGTGAAAAATCTCTCTGGATGCTAAATATGTGCTTCCTGCATGACCACATACTTTTCTGAAGAACTGGAGAAAACCTCAACTAAACAAGCCATCAACTCAACAGCTTTAAATGCTATAAAGTAATTAATATAGTTTCATGCGCATGACTTTCTCACTTCTAATAAACCATCAACTCTGTAGTTATAACTGTCATTTACATGATTAATAAAGGCTTTGTCACTCTCTGGTTAGCCATCAGCCAACGTTTGTAGGACATCTGCAAATATTGTTGATGAGTCAATTAATAAAGATGTGTGACAATTAGCTCAATCTAATTTGATGTATTTGTTTATTATGCCCTTTTACACAGTGTACTCCATGCACACATGACCCAAAATAAACTGGAGCCAGAGACTACTGCAGAAAATAGAGATCTATTTACAATACATGAAATAAAAGGCTTGTCTCCATTCAACTAGTGGCAATGGAGTTTCATCAGGAGGTCTAGATGCAGACCATAATAAAAGAGTGATGGGGTAAATTGTGAGGTTCATCTATAAATTAGGCCAAAAATGACATGAACAAGCCAAGAAAATAAACTATGTAGGGTTAGACTGCACCATAAGGACGCCCTGTGTATAGAGTTATGTACGTACAAAAAAAGGAAATGATCATATTACACACTATACAGCACTATAAAAAATAAGAAAAATACGGCCATGGTTATCTCTTGCCTCGACTATACTGCAATGCCCTCCCTTCATGCACATTGAAATCCTTACAGATGGTCCAGAATGCAGCAGGGTATGTCTGCTCTTTGATCAACCTTACAGGGCTCATGTGACCCGGCTGCTCATTGAGTTCCACTTGATGCTCAATGTGTTCCTCCAAGGAATGTCATCTGGCATCATCCCATCCCTGTACACAAGGCATTAGCGTCATTGGTGGGTGGTTAGCTATCAAGCTATCAAATGCTTTCATGTCCCTCTCTATCTTCAAACCCCATAATCTCTTCCAAGAACACCTCCTCTTCTAACATGCCTAACTAGGACTTACGATACATGTCTTCACCTGATCTCCTTGCACGTCACCTTATTGAGCAGATGTAGTACTGTACTTCAAGGTCTCCTACTGTGCTGAAGCTTTAGTGTTGTCCTTCACTAGTAAGTCACTTTGGAAAAATCTGCCAAATGAGTAAATGTAAATGTAAATATGAAGGCAAATTATGAATAAGCCACCGCTACACATAAACCAGTTTGAATCAGATCAAAAGTGACACTCACTTCACTTATTTGCATAAGCATGAGTCCTACAAACAACACATTTTAATACTTATTTAACAAATCTTTAATTTAATAGTATCAGCTAAAAGGAATATGTAATGGTGCTACAAGAATGGGGAGTCACAACTAATTTTAGCCACTGGAGCCCCCTAGAAGATTAGTCTGGCCCCTGCACTTGGAGGATAAACACCAGCCAAAGAGATCTTGTAATGGGTTGGTAAATGATTTGTTAGCCATCAGTTGTGATTTACAAACCCTTAATGGAGGATGTTTTATAATCCTTTAATGCACCTTTCGGGCCACATGGGGAGCTGATTCCCCCGGTCACCTTCTTCCTGGAGGAGGGCGCTCTCAGCTCAGTTTCCAGCCGGTTATGGGAGGCTGCGTGTGTGCTGGTCTACAAGCTACCGGGCAGCTGCGGTCCTATTAGTACTATTTATATCCGTTAACGGTATCAGAGCGGAGCACCACAGCACCGTGAGCACCACCTCACCACATCCGAGCCGACATGGACTTCTCTATCCGTGCCGCCAACGTGGAGGACTGCAAGGACATCGCGCGGATGATCATGGTCAGGAGACACGTGTGTGCAGCTGTACATGACACGGAAGACATTTATCAGCTATGACTCGAATGCTTACGTCAGCAGATCACTTCATATAGACGATGTTGTTTTTATTAGATTGTTGAGATATGATTAGGAAAGCTAGTCTTTATTGGAGCGTGCATGCAGCTGATGTGCATGCAGCTGCCAGAAGTGCCACTTAAAGCCATGTGTTTAGGATGTAGAGCCAATAAACTGGCACTAACTCACATGTTTACGGCTGGCTATGGAACTGGGCTATGTCAGGAATAGGAATAAATAATGATGACAACTGATGTTATCCCCCCCACCACCCTCCACCCTCCCCCCCCCCCCTGCAGGAACTGGCTGAATATGAGAAAGTGGCGGACCAGGTGAAAATCACGCAGAGAGGTAGGCTACTGTATGAGGAGTTAAATGTGCAGTCCTCTGCCTTGACCTTCCATTTAAATTTATTTGACCTTCATAAAGACAAGATGAACTTTAATGGAGGCCTGGACAGATGGGAAATCTATTCCTAGCCTTGGAAACAGTATTGACAGAACAATCTCACCATGAAGTCCATTTAGTCCAGAACAGCTACTAAATGGACCTTGTGGTGAGATTTTCGGGTTCTACAATGAACATTCAGTGACCTGATGCACTTTTCTTTTTTCTTTTTGCCAGTATGACCAATTCCATGACAGTCAATTGAGATCATGATACAATCAAAAGCTACTAGATGGATCTTGTGGTGAGACTGTTTAAGATTTTGCAGTAGTAACTATCATTAGTGTTTTTTTATGTGGCTTTACAAAAACCCAGCAACATTCTGACTGGGACGATAAGACACTGGTGAAACAGGTGGGTATCCCACAAGCAGCCTATATTTATTGCTTGTGCACTGATTCCCAGTATAGTATAGTAATAAAAACAGTATTATGTAGGCCTAGACATTTGAAAGTATATGCATTTAAGTGTGGAATTAGGAAATTAAATGACATGACTCCACTTGCTTCATAAAAGAAAGTATTTTAATAGGTTTTTTTATTATTTTGGATTTTCTATAGATAGGTGTTCCTCCAAATGGAGCAGGTCTTTCATGTTAATTCCTTAAAATCATCAATTTATTAAAAACTCAACACAACTAACCAAAACTATACCATAACTAAAATATCTGACTCAGATATGTGTCTCTCTTTTCCTTATTATTAGCACAAGGTTGCATTGTTGTTGTTCAAGAAACCTTCAGGAAACTTACAAGAAATTATTAGGACGTTAAATTTAGTCTTTTATTAACTTGAAGGTCTAATTGCAATTTCAAAACCCTCTTCATGAAGTAAAAAAAATACTGAATCGTGGTGGAAAAATATTGGATTCAGCCTAAAGAAATGTGTCGGTTTTCAGAATGTGATCTCAAATTTAGCTACAGCCTGGGGCCGCTGAAAAGAGGCCACCCCCTTTTTGTGAAAAGACCACGAGACATGTGACCTTAATTTCGGGCAGTGTATAACCAGTCTATTAATTATAGGTGTTTCTTGTTTTTTTTCTATGCAGTCTTGGAGCAGGATGGTTTCTCCAAGAACCCGTTCTTCCATGGGATCATTGCTGAGGTGCCAGAACAGCACAAAACCAAAGACGGTGAGGGAGAGCCATCAGTAGCACAGTTTCCTTTCAACACTTAGCAAATGTCCGACACTAGCGAGAAGCTGTGTATATGTGTGAGTGATGGAGTTCTGCAGATCTATATTTCCATACACAAACTAACATTATTACAAAACCACATGAAGTATATAATGAATAATAAATAATCCTTCTGAAACTGTCTTAAAACCGCACGTGGTAGAAAACTACTCTTGTGCTTCTTTACACACACTGTAGCTCTGGCTGCTCTCTGATCAGTGGTGTAGCAGTAGGTGTATTCATCACCTCTCTAAAGGAAAGCACCTGTTGTGACCTCTGGACTATGGCCAGAAGTGCAACATGCGTCAATTTGTCACCTTAGAAATTGCAGCGCAGCAGTATTTTTGCTGCATTGTGCAATTCAGTGTGGATTAACCCTTTAATTTCAGTTTTTCCAAATCAAAATCTTAGACAAAAGCTTTCAGATAAGGCATTTTAAAACGTCATTTACTGATGTTTGCACCCTTTAAATGCACATTATAAATCAAGTTAACATTATTTATAGATTTAAACTGTTTAAACTAGATTTAAATACTGTTATTCCATCTTCTCCTAACCAGATTCCTTAACCCAAAGTCTACCAGAATAACTGTGTGCTACAGCAAGGAAGAAATAACATTCGTTTTTTGTTTTTGTATTGAAAGGATTGTAATTAAGAAACCAAGAGCAGAGAAACTTGGAATATCCTGGTACTTTTTACAGAAATGGTTCAACCAAAAATGATGTTTGTATGCCAGTATGACTTACACAATGGTCTCTGGCACATTTTTCCAGCCCTCACCAAAACAAAAAAAAAAACTGGCCAGTTACTGGGAAACATTTGAGTCCCAAAAAGGCCATAAAAATCTCTAGACAGCTTTTGCAGGGGGATCTTAAGTGTTTCAAAGCCAATCAATTGCACTGAGTCCAAAAGTCAATTTTACTTCATTATCTCTGAGATTTTCCGCACTCACAAAGCTCTTGTTGCTGCATATTGATCCAGTAGAGGCGTCTGTCTGTCTTCATGTGCTTCCTCTCGGCCAGCTCTAGCTCCGATGTAGAAAGCTATACACACTATGCTAAATTTAAAGCTGCATTAACTTGACAACACTGACAAAGTGTCACCTCATAAAGCTGATATGCAAACCTGTTAGCTAATGGTTGCTTATGACACATCCAGCAGACACAGAGCAACATTAGCATTCATTTGGAGTCTCATTTTTCTGGCCATTTGAAGTCCATTATTCATTCTCCTGTCCTGTAGCTTTGTTTTGGTCTCGACCAACTCCTGAGAAAAACATTGAGCTTTATGGTCACCAGCTATCAGCTACCTTTGCCTGCTGTTTGGTGCTGGGCAGGGAGTGAGTTTATCGGGGCTGTTTTTTCGCTGAATCCAGGTGCCTGTGTCTGAAAACAGTCACTTTGCGGACCATAAAACCAAAACAATGAGCTGAGAGACAAGAAACCGAAAAAGAACTGCAGACTCAGGTGACAGATCTCTGTGGGGTCATCAAGCAACCCCTTTCAAATTGTACTCGTACCTAATTAACCACAGCATGTTTGTAGAGAAAGTTAGCAAAATTACATCCATCAGTAACAAATTACCACATTTTCAGGACGGACTTATAGAAATAAGTAATTAATAAGCTGATTGAATTATTTGATCAACTCTTCTGACTGCCATTGACCCTTTTATTAAGGTGAATTGTGCAAAATAGGCTTTAGAGCAGGTTTATCAGCCCATTTATGTAGGTTCTTTGTTACCTAATGTAACAGCATACTGCTGATGTGGCCTCTCTCCTTACACACCACTTACATAACAAGGCTAACACACTGCCTTTCCCCAGAATACAGTAATGAGGACATTAACATACGCTCTGCTGCCCAGCCGGGCCTTTTTCTTCCATGACACAGGCCTTTTTCCATACAGTCACCACTGTCCGCAATCCACTGGCCTCAGATATCTGACTCCATACTGAGGAGTGGCTTCCTGTGTATATGTTTGACTTACAACATATACTATAGACATAGAATGACAAACTTTTTGTCAATAGGAGAATTATCATCCAGCTCTTCAATTCCACTCAGCTCTGTGGAGTATTTTAGCATCTTTAGGCTCATTGTTTTTATTTTACAACCAGCTCCTTAAATGTTCTGGTTCATTCTCATTGCTCTTATCAGTGTTGTTTCTTGAAGTATCCAGCTGCTGTTCTCAGCAACAGCAAAAAAAAATAAATCTTGGATACACCGACTAACCCTAACCCTGAACCAAGTGCCAACTAGCTAACATAGTGCCACATGTAGCAACTAAAGAGCCTCATTTTTCCCTCAGGAGTTGGTAGTAGAGTGACACAGCTAAAAAGAAAATTTTGAACTTGCATTCGTCAGGTAGTACAAACATGAAATTAATGCTGCTCCTGTTAGCTAACACATTAGCCTTATTAGCTTGATTATCAGCATTAACTATTCATTTGCAAATAAGGCAAAAAATCATAAAATATTTCTAAATATAAAATCATCAAACTGACCAACCTAGAAATTAAAGTGATAATCCACCTTCAGTCAATATATACTGGCTGCATTGTTTCCTCAGATGTTGTATCACACCCAAATCTGTAATTTGTCCAAACCAGCCAGGCTGCGTTTTTAAAAATCTGTGCCCAATAAATCTCTGTGTGGACATGTTTAGCAATTACAGCAAAACACTGGATAATAAATCAGGACTGATTGTGTAACATCACATCTGCAATATACTGGCTACTGAGATCAATTCATAAAAATCCAAACAGATATGCAGTTATGAGCACATAACAAAATATTAAAGAGAGTGCGTTGACCTCATTTTTTTCACTGTTTGCTTTCAGGTCATATGAAGATAGGCTATGCACTTTACTTCTATTCCTACAGCTCTTGGTCGGGGAAAGCCATTTATATGGAGGACTTGTACGTGATGCCAGATTTCAGAGGTACAGCACACTGTCTCAAAAATAGACATGTCATTGTTGTAATGTAGTGAATATAATTTGTTATAATGACCAAAAAGTCAGTGAAGCATATCTGTACAGTCTGTGCAGGAAACCTCAAGTGTTGACATGGTATCTGTCTTTCAGGGAAAGGCATTGGCAAAGCACTGATGAGCAAGGTAGCGCAGGTGAGTAAAACATCAACTATTTGATTTGTGACGGTTAAGAAATGGAAATTTTGTGCGGACATTGAACCTTGGGCCTTTTCACTCTTTATACAAAGAAGGTCTTCTTCATTTGCACATTTGAAAATGCTAAATAATGCACATGTCCTGGAGCTTGCACACATTGGTGAAAATTACCATCCCTAATGTCAGAACAGCTGTACTCATATCTGTCTTTTCATTTAACTTTGTTGTCCTGAAGCTGGGCCTGGCTGCCGGCTGCAACCAGCTCAATTTCACCGTTCTGGACTGGAACAAATCATCTCTGGACTTTTACCACAGCCAGGGCTGCTTCAACATCACCACTAAAATGGGCTACCACTGTATGCGCTGTGAGGGAGAGGCACTGGAGCACCTGGCCCAACCCTAACCATCCAACTGGGCTCATGACCTCCTGACCTTTGCAACCATGAGGTCAACCCACACAGTGCAGGGACAGAGCACCACTCAGTGGCCCCGTTCCAATACTTGACGATCACAATCATCATATAGATTTCTGGAAAAAAATTGACTGTTTGCTAAGCTCCGCCCCCCCTTAGTTACTGTTTCTACGTCAGCCAAGCTGCCATGTTTCCAGCACAGCACACATGCTGTGTACCGTGATGACAGTGTCAGATTTAACTCCTGAAGTTTCAGGTCATTTTTCAAACAATGGGTCTATTATTTCACACAGAAGGAAACAAAAGCAGGATTTTTATTTCTAGCCAACAACTGCCAATTTGGGTGGTTGAAATTACAGCAATGGCAGATATTATCAGCTGTATTTAGTTAACATTAGATGTTGAGATACTCAAAAAATTTAAATTTTATCACCCCACAGCTTTTTCCGTTCTCGTCCGTGGTTGCTCTTGTGTGTTTGGCTTTTAAAAGGCTAAAAACAAAAAGAAACACCAACTTTTTTATACACAGAGAATCACTTTCACTAAATATTGGCAAACAACACTTCAGCATGTGGAGAAATCCAAAGCTTGACAGGCCTGCTTCGCCTGGTAACGACTGCTAAGCTGTGATTGGACAGTCACTGTTTGGAGGAGGGGTTTAGCAAACAGTTAATTAGCTTATTATTTAAATAGTCAATGAGGTAGTTTTAAGTATTGGAACGGGACCTTTGCAATACATATTAAAAGTACATAACCAAGGCACTGAAATCCATGTTTTGTGTTTTCCCTTGTGATATGTCATGGCTTTTGATTTTGGTGTTAAATGGATCTGATAATTTACCTCTTGGCCTAAAAGGTGAAAAAATGATGAGACAGCAGATGACAGGTGTAACAGGTGTGTGTGTGTGGGGGGGGGGGGGGGGTGTCATAGTCGTAGGATTTTTAGAGAAAGTCTTCATCACTTGGAAGTGAAATAAGTTTTTGCACAAAGATCCAGAAAAATCTTATGCATCGTAAAAACATTGGTGTGTGTTTCAAAAAAAGCAACTTTTGGGTGTCCTATCCCTTTAAATTCATGATTAACTATGACAACAGCAACCAAAGAGTCAGTCACTTCTCCCCTCGTCTTCCAGATGAGGAGCACTGTAAAGCTGTTGTGAAGCACAATGTTGGTATTTGCACTGTTTTCTTCCTTTTTAAGCTATGTACATACAGAGGGTTCTGGTCATGAAATTGTGCACTTAAGGAATCAGTTGGACTCAACCTAAAACCTTCTTCTGTGCTGCCAAACAGCAAACTCTTGGGGCTGGTTTCAGAGAAATGGATGAAGCTTAGAATCGAACAAAAACGATCCATCTGGTGGAATTTGAAAAATAAAAGAAAATCTTGGACTTGGACTCAGTTTTTGTCTTTGAACCTGTCCAGCTAAAATGAAAGTGGCACAACTCTGGTCTGCACTTCTGTTTTATATCCAGTCTCATTTTAAATAAGAGGGCTTTTGTATCATTTCCAGCCATTTAATGAAAACAGTCTGAGTTGTGATTTATATTTAGTTTGTTTTTCTCTCAATCTAAACAAGCAAGAACCACTGACCCTCCTGTGCAGTTTGCATTTCTTTTCATACTTTGTTTACAGAATAATTCAGTAAAGAATGTGCAATTGTTTTTTTTTTTTTTCCATCTCTGGGGCACTGTGTTGTAAAATACAGTATTTTCCTTCCGTGTGCAAAATCTAAAGAATTCATCCATGTGGAAAAGTACATTTAATGCGTCGTCATCCACGCTATTACAGAGTGCATGACCCAAAAATCAATATAGAGTCCAAGGGAACATGAAAAGATATTTATATCCTCCCTTGTCTGCAACTTCCCATCAGAATGCCAGATCCAGAGCTACAAATTATACAACTTGTAATGCTGTTTCCAACATGGATTCCTCAGACTGTTTCAAAATCAAATCAAAGTTCAACCCTGATTCCTGTCAAATCCACTGAGGTTCTTTGCAATAAATCAAAACAACTTTGCCTGACATGACAAGAAAAGACCTTTAAATGTTTGAAATGTTCATTCAGGTTTCGGTGTGCGGCGTGTGTAGTAACACACAGTGTAACGGTCAGTATGAATAGACAAAACAACCATGTTGATGTATCGGGTTCATTTCCTCGACTTTGGTGCTAATTAGTTGTCAGGAAGAGGCTACGTGTGTGTTTCCCAGTGGACCATACGCTTTCATATGTTAGTGTGTTTTAATGTGTTGATGTGTCTTACGTGGTCTCTGAAATGGTTAAAAATGAAGATGGTCACGGTTGGGTGAAAACTGAGTGAATCCAAAACTTTTCAGGAACCCAGTGCATTTTTGATTTTATGCACTTTTTTTTTTTTTTTTTTTTTTTTTTTTTTTTAAAGGCCTTCATGGGATCAAATAAGTTCCCTCCACCCACATAGGAGCACGACATCCCTCCATTGAAGTTAAAGCAGGAAAAAAATGGATTCATTGGGTTTTCACATGACATCAGTGAAATGTTTGATGCCATTATTTCACCCAAGTGGCCACAAAAAGTAGCTTTTAGAGTTTTAAGTGTCATTTGCGCTGCCAGAAATCTTGACGCTTAAGAAAATACCAAAAGCCATATTACGTCTAGCCTAGAACCTGCATGAAATTCAAAAGTTGGTTTCATAAAAGTATTTTAGGCTTCCTGTTGTCGCCTGTTCAATCTTGAAAACCAAGAGTGTGTTTTAATGTTTACTTGACTGCTCTGTTCAGTAGGTGACACTGATCAGAATAATAAAACCTGTCAGAATGCAGTCAAATAAAGTGATGTGTTGTGTGAATATGTAACTGTGTCCAGCTCACTTCTTTTCTCTGAGTGAATTTATCCATGATCAATAATAATCATTTACCAGGAGTAATGAGCTTATAGGTTTAAAGTGTGAATCTAAAATTATTCATGTTTGGAATAATTACAACTTGAACTTAAAAAAATAAAGGATAATATGAAAATAAAAAATATATATAATAAATTACATTTACCTAATGTAAAACTATAGGCAGTGCGCAGTTGCATTTGACCTCTAGGGGGCGCACTAACACCAACTGTCCCTTTAATCCCAATGAAGACTCAAGATAAAACTTTTGTTCCTGTAAAATAAAATATTCATACATAGTAAAATAAAATGAGAAATATATGTAGCTACTACTGAACCAAAGGAGGAATAGATTAAAAATTAACTGTCCACAGAGGTGCATCACAGTGTGACAAATTACAAGCAAAGAAATATGGATTTCAATTTCAAATGTGGATTCAGGATGATTTTTAGTTGATAAGTCACATCTTCACATGACTTAAAGGTACCCTGAACAGTTTGTGACCACTCGTAGTGTAATGGAGAAAAGTTTTCAGGAGTGGGTCCCTGTTTTTGTCACTGTTTTGTACATTTACACAAAGATGGAAGATGCAATACACATTTCTGCTGATGTTTTCAGGCTGTTTCACTGATCAACAGTAGATGGTGTTATCACGCCAATAAAACGCAGCAGCGAGCCAAGAAAGGCAACACAGAAGAAGAGTGCTAGCCAACCGAACATGGATATGAACAATCATGGTTTCAAATTCTTGCAAAAAATTGGCTTTTCAAATGTTTCTCAAGGATACATGTTTTGTATTTTGCTGATATAACATAACTGTTATTTCTGAAAATCCACAAGTCATCATTAATTACCTCCACTGAAATAAGATGGAAGAGAAAGATGAGTCGTTCTAGTTATAACTTTTCTTTTTAAAACTCAATTTAATTTTTAACTCTTGTTTGATTTGTGTCAGGTCTGGTTAATCGTTTTTTGGGGGTCCACCAGGGTCCATGAAAAATTTCTGTCATGCCCTGCTTCTTTATTAAGTTGTAAATGTAGTAGTGGATTGATATTACTTAACCTTCAGAGATATTGCACCAGCTGGGGGACCCGACAAGCGTCACAGTTGAATCAAAGGGGACATTTTTCAAATTCTGCTCAATTCTTATGAAATATTATGAACTTTTACCTCCTGTAAAACTAGAGATACTGCTCTGCGTTAAAGGATCAAAAGCGCAACACTTCTAAATGCTAAATCCAAAGCCTAAATACTCTTCCTGTTAGAACTTGAGGTTTGACTGTGAACATTATTAAGTTTTGCTCCTTAAGCAAAACATTTTTGATTCATTTCTCAGGTTAATGTCCCCGTCTCACTGGAGAGGTTCTCCACTCTGGTCTGTGGCTCACCTGTTGACGGCACAGTGGATTGAAGCGCCACATTCCCAGCCGACACCTTTACCTATACACTACAGCCACCGTGTGGTTACAAACGGAACTGTTACACGCGTGAATGGCACATATTTTCAGGGCATGCAAGTTAATGAAAGTGATTTGAGAAGCAGAGGAAGCTCCGGTGCGCCTAGACTCTTTTCCTTGCGCCCACCTCGTTGGGTTTTTTTTTTTTTTTTTTTTTTTTAATACTCTGGATGCCAGCCGGTGTCACAACATCAGAGCTCGCTGCGCGCGCACAGAAAGTTCACCTCCAAGTCTGTGTATGTGTGTGTGTATGTGTATTGGTATGTGTCTGTTAGTGTGTGTGTGTGTGTGTGTGTGTGCGTGTGTGTGTAAATTCACGCTCCTGTGTGTGCTCAGCAGCAGCCAGCAGTCTCTCTAATAGAGTGACCCCCCAGCACGCTGGTTAAAGGGAAGACAAGAGAGCTGAGTCAACGAATCACAAGGAGAAGGATGCAACAGTTGATGTGCGCAAGTTGCACAGTTTTCTTGTGTTTGGAGACGGCCTGCACACACGGAGGATGGTGGCTTTGATCCGCGTGGAGGAAGGATCGGATGTTTTGTCGCTTTAAAAACCCCTTTCATCTGTCAGATTAACCGAAAATTAACACAGAAAGACCCCCCCCCCCTCTCTCTCTCTCTGTCTGAAAGCAGCGGGTGTTTAGTTACGGGCTGTCCACTCGCGCGTCTTTCCTACCAAAATGGACATTTGGACAGAAATGCATTTGGAGGGATTTCATGCTCTGCTGGAATGGAGTTGAAGTGCGGATTTCGGATGGTCTGCGGCGGTGAGTAGCAGTGCAGTCTGCAGCAACATGCATCGGATTCTGCAGAGGAGGCGAGTGCGCAAGCTGCGGGTCGTCTGGGCTTCTCTGGCCCTGGTGGCTCTGTCTCTGGCCGCATGCAGCGCGCTGTTTACGGCGTGGACATGGCGGCAGACGCGGGACCTGTCTCAGTCCTTTAAGATCTTGCAGGACCGACTGGAGCAGGTTTGTATCCTACATACTTAAAAAAACAACAACAATCAAGCCTGCAAAACACCCCCTCCCCTTCTCCCTCTTTGAATAGCATGCATATTTCTACCAACAATAATATTTACTCGCCACCAACTTTTAAAGACCATCAAGTGTTTGTTATGCAACTTCTTGTGTGGCTGCGGTTACGGGAATCTTCGCGGGGGGTAATGTGGAAAAATGCAAGTCCACATTTCACCCCCTTTCACTCCCCCCCCTTTACACGTACTCTATTCTATTGCACCGTTTCTCTACTTGGCACTTTTATTGCTTACCAATAACAGCGCAGTCAAATTGTGCGGAGTTGCTGCTTATTTTTTGCGCCCACCCCCCTCTTTCTCCCCCTCAACCCCCCACGCCATGTTTAATTACTCTGGTGCCAGTTGTGCTCCAGTTTTATCTCAATTTACTGGAAAGCCTCAACTATTTGGCATGTAAGCACTTCATACCCAACTGACTGCACTGAGGCTTGAGGCGTGAAACAGGCTGGATGATAGAGTGTGGCAAGTGTAAATCATCTGCAACAATGCATAGCCTCTTCTCATGCACAGGTCAGGAAGCAAGTACCCTTTCAGTGCCAAGTTAAATGTGCAGGAATGGGTCTGAAATCCTGCACAGTCTTGTGCAAAGTGCAGTTTTTCTTTTTCGAGTTCTTGCACTTGCAGCAAATGTTAAGACTGCGGCACGAGGTTGCATCACAAGGCAAATTATTTCTAAAAGCAGCCAAAAGGAGCTGATGGAAATTCTTCTGGTTTCAAGTTCAGACTATTTACAAAACCAGGTTGCACTGGATTTGAGATCAGGGGGACAGGTTGGCTGTGTATCATGCTGACAGACCTCCACACGCGCATATTTTCTTCCCCTCACACTCACACTCACACACACACACACACACACACACACACATACACACATACAAACACCCCCAAAACTGGACACGTGGAGTGTTGATGCTGGAGCCTTTCCCAAGGGGCCCCGTTCTGTCCATTTGACTGTTCGCCAACTCCTGACGAGAGCCAGTGAGTGAACGTCTGGAGAGTGAAGAGCAACTCGCTGCCTCCATTTCCACAGTAGCAGTAA